TATATATATATATATGCTACTCTTTTACTTGAGATAAGAAACTGTCATTTATATTTGATTTGCAGCTGGGGTAGTGGTTTATAAATTCGCCACATATTAAATATAAAGCATTTTATCAGAGTTAAATTGTAATTGAATGTTCACACGTCCGGTACAGCGAATTAATCTAATCTAACCTAATCTAACCGTTTCTTGTGATATGAGCCAACATATCTCATCCCTGCACACATCTGATTTTGATCATTTATTGCAATAATGAACAAATTATCATTGTTACTTAAAATAACGTATACTAACAAACTTTTCTTTTAACTAATAATTCATCACTTAGATTGCTTTTTCAAGCCGAAGGACATTAATACAAAATTATGAAGTGCTCAAAAATTTATTTGTCTTCTCTTGAATCAGACTTTTTTCTTTTTCTATTGTAATACTTGTTTGATTTAAATGAAACTTAGGGAGAAGTATATGCCTACGTTATAAAAAGAAATACTTTGCAGTAACTTTTCTATTCCTTTATCATAAAAACATAAATGGAACCCGGTCTCTCCTAATGTCTACAGAACATCAATTTACTCTTTTCGTGAACTTTAGGTATATTGCTCATTCTCTTAAAGTAGTGACAAACGATGAAATAAAATTTTAATCCCCATCATTTGTAAAAAATAGTCCTTTCGTTGAAAGAATAAACATTGGATAGAAAATAATCATCAGCAATAAACATTGTACCGAAAAATAATGTTATCCGTCGTCCTTGGAAGGGAAGAGAGAGGGACGCGACAGGCGGGATACGGCCAGCGAAACGAATTTTGATTAACGAGAGAGCTTTCGCAAATTCGGGAGCGCGTTCCGCGCGAAAGAACGTTCCAATTTGTCCGCGTAGTGAGCGCGAAATGAAATTAAGGCAGACGCGAATTTGATCAGCGGCGGCGGCGGCGGTGGCCAGAGCCCGAAATCTCGGTGAAAACGCAGAGCTTGGTCGAAACGCTCGGAGGGACGACGACTAATGACAGTTACCGCTGTGAGTTGATTCCCGCTTAAAAGATTTACGCCGCCTTGTGTAGCTTTGCAAATCAAATATCCGACTGGCTTCGCCAAAAGTACTTGTGCTCGCGAAACGAAAAACCGAAGCGTATCTATTTACTCTTTCGAGACCATCGAAATTGTATTTTTAAAACCTGCGAAAAAAGTGAAAAACTTTTTACATTTAAATTAAGAATCAGAAATGCAGTATAATCAATTTATATTTAATTTATTTTAATCATATTTTATTTTGTGTTTTTTATAACAATCAGAATAATTTTATTTTCTCTCGGTAGCGATATGTCAAAATAAAAGTATCATTATAATTTACCGTGTACACTTTTTTATATTAGATATGTCATAATATTTTATATTGTGACATTTTTTTCAGTTACAAGAATTAAAGATTTAAGTAATACGAGTAATCGCGTGAAAATAATTCATATAATTTATCATGCAAAAAGATACCTGTCAAAAGTGTCACTTTTCCGTACAATGAATTCGTACAACGAAGAAAATGTAAACTTGGAACTTTGGAGGCATTATCGTCTACGCGTCCTAAATTGCATAAATTCACCGCCGACAACACATAATAAATCGCTTGTATTGTGTCGAGCGCAACGTTATATCTCACGTCATTTGAATTATTAACTTGCTATAGTAGTATGTATATCAATTGCATGATATTGACATTGTCGTTCCATTATTCCATGTCATTACAGAGAAAGAGAGAGGGGAGGGGGAGGAAGAAAGAAAAGAGACAGTTATCGCGACCAGTTATCTAGAATTGATCGAACTTATCGTACTATTCTCTATATGAATATACAACGAAAGAGAATCGAATCGAGTATCGATTATGAATTAGAAGATTACACAATATTGTGCGGCTTTAACTGGAACATGAATTAGCCAATGTGATCACATGAGATTGCACACGAAATAATCATACAATCTCGCTTCTTGCGTACCTATGCATCAACGTATTTTAATTTTTGCAATCTGATGAAACTGCCATTGTAATAATTATCATTTCCAACGAAAAGAGAGCAATGTATTGCAGAAGCATTTGAGTCTATATCGAGTTCACCTTCGGGCTCACTCTCATGATTTAAAAATCCGGCCGCGCTTTAATTGCATTCCAATGCGAAGCATTAGCAACAAAGTGAGCAGCAATAAAAAAAATCGCACGATGGCACACACCCGTATAGTCAAGTGGGGGAAGAGAAAAAAAGAGGAATGTCGTTCGCACTCCACTTCAAATATCGACACGTTGATACTCGAGACAGATTGAAACACTCTTTTTAAATGCGGCCGAGAGCGCGAGTTCAGAGATAAACTAATAAATCGCGCAAATCGTCTCTGTCGATTCATTTCTCAACTGCGAATGCAGATTAATAATGATGAGACACAGCACAGTGTATCAATTACATTGTCGTTATCAACATCGTCAAGTCGATATTGCACCAACTAATTAACGAATCCCCATGTTAGCAAGCTGTTACTGTCAAAAATCGAGATTGACTGGATTGTATTACTCGATAATAGTTCACTTCAAAAGATTCTGACAAATACGAGAATTTAGACCATCGGTATAAAATTTTGACGAAATAGCATCGTTATTTCGATTGCATCATTGAGTAAATTCTATTCTGATGTTGTTTTTAATGATTAGCGAATAACAGAAATTGTCCATTTTAATAGAAAACATAAAATCCATGGAAAACAAGCACTTATCTTTCAAAAATTCAGCCACTTTTGATTAATTTTTTGATTAATTTAAGAAATCGAGCCGTATAATTTATCAGAAAAAACTCGAGATGTTGTTTCTAGATATAATTATGTTAACAAAAATCAGATTGTAATACAATAAATAATAAATAAATTAACAAACAATAGGAATAATGTAGATAATATTACGCACAAATAAATAAATAAATGAATAAATATAAAGTGCTTTAATTTTATGTTAAAGATTTTTGAAATTATATTCACTCGAATACAGGAAATTTTCGCATTTTACATTTAATTATCGCTTTTCCAAGGGTCTTTAGTAATGCTTCCGGCTATACTAAATATTTTACAGCAGCATTAACCTATATGCCCCGGCATATTATTATTTGTAGCACGTTTCTGATAAAACTCACGATGGTATCGCATTTCTCTGTTGCAGGTTATCCTTGTGCCTCACAGTCACACCGATCCGGGATGGCTGAAGACATTCGAGCAGTATTTCCACAGTTCTACGAGGAGCATCCTAAATAACATGGTCTCGAAACTGCAACAATGGCCGAACATGACTTTTATTTGGAGCGAGGTTTCGTTCTTATCACTATGGTGGGATAGGTGAGTGCATTCTATGTGCATACGCGATCGAATGTTTTGCAATTTACGAGTAAAAAAGAGAAAACACTTCAACTACTTTATGTCAGAAAATGCATCGAGAAATTGTCTTCAAATTATAATATATATTTACATAAAACGAACACTTCCTTTTTTATGTTTAAATTGAAAATATTGAAGACTAGTATGATAATAATAATAATAACAATAATAATAATAATAATAATAATAATAATAATGCAGTTTATATATGTATGTAATAAATAGTTAAATATAGAAAGAATAACGCAAATAATAATAAATTAAATGATATTATACAAGATAAATAAAAATTAATGAAATTTTCAAACGACACGTGCAAATTTTCTCTAAAGCGGCAAACGGATTATCATTCCCAGAATTCACGAGGTATAATTAATATTTCTCTTAAGGGGTGACTTATTAATACGAATATTGGCTTATGCATTTGTAATTAAAGACAAACACCAGTGCAGTTGTGTGCTAATCTACGGATTTTCTCGTAATCTCGTGAGTTTTCCTGAAATTATAAAATGGAACTCTCAAATAAAGCGTTGTATAAACGAAAACTTATAGCCTCGAATAATTGTACATGTTTAGTAACGCAACATTCATTGTCTATTTTCGAAATTCAACTCGCGACACGAGACATTCCTATCAACGTTGTTCTATTCTTTTGAGAATCCTTTTATATATACTGACACTGGTTTCTACATTTCTATTTTAATTAAAGACAAACGTTTGTCCGTGCATTCGTGCGTTAAATAAATCATTTTTCGCACGCAAGCACCTCTCTCGGAAATGGATTGTTGTAAAATAGGCCGAGAGAGGCCGAGGGAGAGTGATCGTATCGGAAACTGGATGGTGATTCTCGAATCACTTAGCACTTGGAAGAACGAAGCGGAAACTCGAGAATAACGCCAGGTAACAGTTCTCCTCTTCTTAACGAGCCGCGGAAAAGCTGTGGATGAAGTAGGGATGAAAAAGACGGAGAAGTGTCACGAATGGATTCCGAGAAAAGAGAAAGAAAGAGAGGGAAAGATAACAGATAAAATGATAAGTTCCAGATGAGTTTCACTGGGGAGCTCGCTTTCATTACTCTCTTCCAGTTGTTAGAGACAGAATGTGAAAATCCTGCAGGTTTACTTAAAAGTAATTTTTACTTGAAGGTTTAGCGAATCGATACGATTTTATTGGATCATTGAAAAAAATGGGAATGGAAATACGAATGCTTACGAATTGCCAAGTGTACAATCCCAATTGAAGAACAATCAGTGAAAAAATGATAAATAATTATAATATAAGAGAAAGTCGTATAATACTGGTTAGCTTATAATATTGACCAAAGCTAATTTTTACTTATCCCATTAGACGATAGCGCTGTACGGTGCACAAAAGGATGCATCCTTGTTTTATATATCATAATTCGCGTATTATTAAATCATAGCGAATAGCTTAGCTTTTGTTGACAGCATGTGTTTTGGACAAAAATTATCTTTCAGAGCTGATCTCTTGTTTTCTCAGATAATTAATTTTATCACATTATATACACTATATTTAGTCTAGCTGTAAAAAAATAGCATTAATATGATCATTTTGTTTATATAACGATGCAAGATACCCAAAAATATTTCGTCTTTCATGCCTTCCTCAGGCCAATCTGTAAGGTTTTTTACTGTTAAACCGATGTTTTATATATATTTTTAAAGTCTTTTAATTAGCTGTAGGATAGAGAGATCTAAGAACCTCCCTCTCTGTCTGCAGCAATCAAAAGGCTTTATAAAACCTTATTGTACCTTATTGGTACAATATTGGCCTTAAACTGTAAAAGAATGTATATAATATTTATTTACGTACATACATACATACAGACATACATACATAATTTTTTTAACGTTACAGTTTGCAAGGAAAACATTATATATACAATTTCATATGTGATACATGTAAATTTTAATAATTTATAAAGACTTCCAAAATTTAAATGACTTTTCGCTATATCTTTATCTCATTTTCATTAAAAAAATCTATTGAATTTATTGCTAGCCGATACTATAACAATTTTTCCTGTATCTTAAATTCTAACTTTTTCCTTTTGCCTTGCTTTTTGCTAATTATCAGCTTTATAAAGCCAGCAGGATCAAATCAGCAGAATCAAATCGGACTTATCGGAATTTTTGTACTCATTTTGTACTAAATTGTACCATTAATGATAATTTTATCTTATGCCATTTCGAAAAAAATTATGGCGGTGCTAGCTTATTAAGCTGGCAGAACCAATTCAAAATAAGAGAAAAGAAGAAAAATAATATCAGAAATCAATACTATTGAATTTGTACTATTTTGTACTAACAAAAACAATTCTATATTATTTGTCATTTCTAAAAAAAAAACAGTGGCACTGCTAATTTAAAATTTAAGCTGGCAGTACCATAAAAAAACAACACAAGGGCAACAACAAAATTAACACAACTGAATTTATACTAATTTGAACTATTGAAAATAAGTTACTTTACATGTTTTCTCCAGATGAAGATGTATCACATCAAGCTGAACGGAGAATGAAGTTAAGCACTTGTACTTTTTTGCTGTACTTCGTTCTTTATCATCTCTCTATATAACTAAGTCTTTTCTATTCCTTATAGTAATGATTTAATGTTATATGATATAAAGTTGCGCTACTTATTACATTGATAAATCGATTCAACTGACATAATAGTATTATTAATATTACAGTAAAAAATTAAAATTACAATACTACAATATAACATAAAGATGTATATAATAGATTGGTTACCTGCAAATTATTTCAATTTCTTTCTAATTTTTGTGGCATAAATCTTGGCGCGCAGCGTATATAAATATCGGAGTTACCTTATTGTTTAAATTCCATTTCAATTTATTAGATATTGTATGAAATATTTAAAAATTATTTATATATATATATATATTAGGTGTACAACTTTGCTTCCGTCGTTTTTTTTCCGAAATTCGAGGCTTTATTGTAAAAAACTGATTATACATTTATGATTCAAAGTATTGTCCATCGCTGGCCACTACTTTCTCCCATTTCAACGTTTCCAAGTATGTCTTGACCACTTTCGCAACATGGGGTCGAGCATTGTCATGCTGCAAAATCACTTTATCGTGTCTCTCGTTGTATTGCGGCCGTTTGTCTTTCAATGCTCGGCTCAAACGCATCAATTGCATTCGATACCGATCGCCTGTGATTGTTTCAGTCGGTTTTAACAGTTCATAATACACTACGCCGAGCTAGTCCCACCAAATACAGAGCATGACCTTGGAC